TTCTGTTTGGATCGCTGCTGCACGCTAATCCATGCAGGGTGCCTTTATTTGGGGTTTCAGGGACAGGGACAGATTTGGTTCGTGCCATGTGGAAAAGGAGGGAAGAGATGAGCAGATGCCCTCAACCTCAACAATGGAGCTACCAGTACTTCTCACTGATTTTTTTTTTTTTTTTGTCATTTCTCAGATTATTAGATAGCTTCTAATAAAGTCAATGAGCATGAGCTGCCTGATAAAGTCTTGGTGCACTGAAGAGAACATCTATTGCAGAGTATCGATTCCTCGTGCAGTATTTCCAAGCTCGGGTTTCAGAGCCAGATCAGCCCAGCGGTGCCATCGCTGGACAAGGCACCAACACCCTGATTTTGAGAGATGCCAAATGCCTGCTGGTCTCTCTCCATAGCTGAGCATTCAGCTCTTCTGGAAACCTGGCCGCAGACGTTTGGGATTTCAGACTAACACCGCACCTGTAGTATCCATGAGAACAGCTTGGCATCTCCGTGCAGTGAAAACGTCCTGCACAAAGCAAGATATTCCTCCCAAGTTCTCTACCAGGAGACTCTCCACCATCATCACGCAGGTGACTGCTGTCCTCACCGCTCTTGCTCTTCTTATGGAAGGAAAAAAGCTGCTGTCCCCATCATATGCTAAATCACAGAGCAAGTGCAGTTAACCAAACATCTGTGCAACAGCAAGGAGCCAGAAGCAGAACAGAGCCTTTGTCATGTTCAGGAACAGTTTAAATTCTGCAGACAAAAAGCGTTCTTCGTTATGCTTACTGGCAGACTGGCCTTAATAAAGCCCAGTTTAGCAGAGCTGCTGCTCTGCCTATCCAACACCGCAGCTCCGGGTGCAAGAAACACCCTGGGTTGCGCTTTCGGAGTTCAGCAACAGGAGCAAGCCTGCATCGAAGGCATCACCTCTGCATCTTCCCACCTTCTCCGAGTTCCAGCCTGGCGCAGGGAATCGGGTATGGGATTCAGCTCATCCAAGTCAACAGCTAAAACAGCCCAGACAAATTGCTTCAAGTATTAAAGGAGATGAGAGCGACTGCTTGAGGAACAGATGCGTGGATTGCAAGCATCTAAAATGAGGTGAGATGAAGCCAAGCCAGAGGTGAAGCACTGGAGGTGAAGATCTAAATGCTTCATTTTGCTAAGGTCCTGTGGATGATGGCAAATTCCCTGAGCAGTGCAAAGAGCCTATCTCTACCTTGCTCCAGACTGAGCAGCGACAACAGGGGACATACCACCAGCATGCGCAATGCTGGGTGGTCCAGTGCCACCCTGAGAAGCAAAAGCCCAAATTAAGACAGTCATATGCATGCAATGGCACAGAGAGTATCTTTTTTCCTTTCTTAGCTTTCCTCTAGAAGAACAGAAAATCTGTGCATCTACCCCAAACCCTGTGTACTGGTTAGAAGAGCAGCCTGGACAGAATTCATTTCATCCAGTTTTATTTGTCAATTCTGGAGACACCTCCTGGTGAGCCCGTCACCCCGAGCTCCCTTCATAAATCAACAGGAGGAGATGCTTCCCAGGCACTCTTCATCTGACCTATTTTAGCCTTTTAGCTGATGATGAAATGAATCATTCTTATTTCTCTCCTTTGACCATAAAGCAAGTCTAGACAAGTAACTCAGATGTTGATACTTAAATCTGGATAGAGTAATTTCACTTCTGGGGTCCATATCTGACTACAGCTCTCTTATTGCCTTGCCAGGGCAAATCACTCCACTTCTGCCTCTCTCACAGTCCCTTCATCAGCAGCACAGGGATAAAACATTTTATTAGGGTTGTAAAAGCATGGAAAATAATTGCATGGAAGTTTCTGATTAAGTCTAGGCAGAAAACAGCACAGCATTATAGCAGAATTTAGGTTAAGAAATACAAGCGTAAGAGTGAACGTACAAGAATCACCATTTTCTCTGTGCACCAGTCACAAAGGATTGGGTCTTTCCCTAAAATGTTTTATGTTATTTGTCAACTAAGACGCTTGGTTAATAGTGCTACACTGACAGGCTGGAGAAGTCATTACTGCAATGCTGGTTAAACGCTCTGACAAAAGCTTTTTTGGTTCCCTGTTATTAAACAACGGTGGATGCTGGGGGGGTTCCCCTGCGGGTGAGCCTGCAGCGATAGCGTTCCCCTTCAATACCAATTAGCCTTTGCTTTGGACAGCAAACGCACGGTGAGCGTTCAAAGAAGAGGGTTAGCATCTCAACAGGCTAACACAAGAACCTGGAGGATGGAGATCTGTTGTTTATCTTAAAAGCGTAGAAAAATGCGATAATTTCTGGACATTGTGTTCCTCCTCTCCCCTCTTTTCCGTACTTCTGAGAACATGGGAACTCACTCATTAATGAAACGAGGAAGATTACCCCAGCTGCAGTGCCACGGACACAAGGCCCATTATCCCAATTTCCTTCGTAACATCCTCACACCTGGACACTCTGTCAGGGTAAGTCAATTAAGAGCAGCTTCACAAAACCACATTTCACTTCAAAGCTCTTCTCCTGGGGAAAAAATCAGCCTCAGCAACCTGACTCTTTACGTATCGACATGGCAAGGTCAAAAAGCTTCACATTAACGGCACATTTCTGCAGTGCTGGACGATGAACTCGAGGAGCGGTCTATACAGTTGCCATGTCTTCTCAATTCCCAAGCAAGCAGAAAGAAATCAAACTGGCTGTGAACAGCCCCGACGCAGGCAAATTTTCATAGGCTACTCCTATGAGCTCCGTCAGTGGCAAGCTGTGCTTCTTTTAGAAGAAATAAAATGAAAAATCATTACTTATCTTAATTGTCACTAAGGGTTTACCATCCTCTGAGCTCAACATCTTAATATTAGCTCTTCCCTGAGAGCTGGACAGGATTTTGAGGAGCACGATAGCTGAATCTCAGGGGCTCCTCTCAATTAATCACTGAAATGTATCCTGTTTCATTATCTACCATCAGAGTATAATGTAATTAGCGCGCATTATACATTAGAGATATTTATTAGTCCTCCACTATGTATGGACTCACACTCAAGGCAGTGGAAGCCCGTTATATGCCTTGTAACTTCTTTTTCACCAGCAGCAAGGAGCTGAGTCGGGTTAACTCTGCAGGGACTCCCTACTTGCAAAGAGCATGAGTGTTCCCCGTACACTTTAAAGTCACCATTAATTTATCACATGAAACGGCACATATGGGACAAAAAGTAACGCCTGAAAGTCTCCCGAACGGTCCTGAGGGCAGTGCAACATGTTTGTGAGGTTCATGAAAGACGGCACCAAATCCGAACCCTGAGCAGAGATTTATCACATTGCTGGTGACTTGTCGAGCGAATACAGGCTGATCTGTGCCTTTGTGCTAAAAATCACACACGGCTCCACGCCTGGTTTCAGTGAAAAACCATCTAAAATGCAGCACGTTTGAGTTTCATTCTGAATTTGGTATTCTGAGAGCGTCCTTACCCATCGCTGTGAGAATGAAGAGGAGTATTTCTGGACCCAGAGAACCAAAGCTCCCACGTTACCCAGCCGTATGCCTTGCTACCACACGCAGCACCCAACACACGCAGGTGCCTTACCCAGCAGGTAAGCATCCTGCACCTTAAATTTATTTTCATGGTAAATAAGGAAAGTAGGGATTTTTCCAAGTTGCTCTCGCTATGGTTCATTATGGCAAGTGCTGTGTGATTAGTGGTAATTGCCAGGCGTGCTGGTTGCCGTCCCCTCACCCGGCTAACGACAAGCTCTCTTACAGCCAGGCCAGCCAAAACCACAGGGGCCAGACAGAACCAGTAGCGCTGGGTGGGAGTGACTGGGAGGGAGAAAGCTCTCAGCTCCATAGGTGTAAGCACCGCACAGACATTGCAAACAGGGTGAAAAAGCATTACGCAGTGACAAGCACTTAATGACTCCGAGGAAGGCTATTAAATAACTAACATTGATTGATATAAAGACACCTGCTGCTGTGAGATGCTTTACAAAGGGTTCGCTTGATAGGACTATTGTGCAGAACCTACTAAAACAGGGAAGACGTCCATTGGGAGGAGCTATATAGTATTTTTCTGCTGCAGCCTGCTTACCACAAAATTTAAAATGGTAAATTACTCTGACACTGCTAACAGCTACAGCTGCTTTAATCAGCTGGGTGGCTATTTGGTTCCAGCAGATAGCATCATATTTTCTTCAGACTGACCACAGGGTCTGGGAGATGCACTGACATGGCCTTGAATCCGAGTGTTTCCCCGGTTTTTATAATCATATTTCAAGAAATGGGCAGGCCAAATGGAGCAAAGCTTATGGGGATAAACTACTAGAATTATAGTCAGAGCGTCTGTTTCCACTCTTCGGTAGAACCAAAGATAATGTTGTTAATAGTGATCATTGGGTTTAGAGAGTATAAATCTAACCATGATTAAATTCTGTTCCCTGTGAGCTAAGCCAGGAACTCAGCTGCTATCAGGACAGAGATTATGTATGCATTTACAGTCCAAAATTGCTAGAGCCTGAGTTTTGCTTTCAAAAAGACATTTAGTAGGACTATGAGGAACAACGTCAAAGAGAAGCCAACTGCAAAAGATGCATCCACACTCTTCATCTTTCATCTCCTTATCCTCTATTTCACATGGTTTCGATACCTTTGGAGAAAGGAAGGATGATTCCCCTTCTCCAGACTGAGTTGGCAGGAGTAATCTGCCAAAATGCAGACACCCCTGGTGATGCCTGTATGGGAGCTAGTCAACTCGGGGCCTTCTGAGGAACAGCTGATCTCATTCTGAAGATCATTACTAGGTTTTCCAGGTCCGTTGTGTACCCAGGGGGGGATTATTTCTTTCCATGAACAACATAAAGGCCTAAGGTGACTAGTACAGATGTAGAGATCTACAACGTAGACAGACCAAAGTCAGGTAATAGCATCCATGTGCAACCTTGTAAAATGAAGTGATTCAGATTAATAGTACGAGATGAACGCATTTGTAAACTCTGATTTCTCAGAGCGTTTGCTTACCTAGGATCACAAAGAAACTTGGTCTTTTCACCTTCTTCTCTCCAAATAAGCCATTCTCGGAAAGAGGGATGAACAAACATTCGCGTCATATCTCTACGTTTGATAAGAAACATAGAAAGGTTCTCCATCCTCTGCTGAAAGTCATCCCACTCCAAAGTGCCCTCAATGTTACCTGCATTAATGGCCTGAAAAATATGTTCATCTGTTAATGGGTGCAGAGATGCCACTGCCACATTCAAGAGAGGCATAACCCGATCAAAGGAAGACTGCGTTGGGAACTTCATATTGCACTGCAACAGGTAAACTTCTGACAGAGACACTGGGACTACTTTGTAGCTGGAGCTTTTTAGTACTAGGTATCCTTTCTCTATGAGATCAAAAGTGAGTTTTAGGTACAGATAGGACCCTTGGCTCAAGGTCTTGAGGTGAGAACTGAGTTTCCCAAACGTAGTGTTGTCCATTTTGCCGTTAAGTGAGATGTTGTTCTGGATCTCCGAGCTGCTGTGTATCCGATGAAGGATATATGCCTGCAGGTCCTGGTCTATGGCTTCATTCTCTTCCAGTCTATCCAAAAATATTCTGTGGAAGGGCAACAGCTTAATTATTTCCTACAAAGAAAGGAGAAGGAAAAAAAAAAAAAGGTACTCATGCTGGCAGTGTTTATTATTCATTAAGTAAACTCAATTCATGTTACAATAGCACCTTTGAGACTCCTTTAAGACCTCTTCCATCAGGGCAAACACACAAGATGGCAGTTTGTGCCCTCAGGACCCCAGAACCTCATCTATAATCAAGTAGGTTGCATGTGAAACATGACTGAAATAGAAATGAAGGACACTGTTCCTAATACCGCATCCATGGAAAGGACTAGAAAACTCACAAAGAGCAGTGCCCTTGTTATTCCTACCCCATCCCAACCACGTATCAACATGCCATCCCTTCTGCTACCATGTCTGAGGGAACAGACAACCAGATGACAGATCTGAGGCCAGAAGAAATTTTGCTGAAGCCGAGCCTAAGTATCTCCGCAGGAGCGTCCTCCTGTATAACACAGCTGCTATCGACAGGGAAATGCATGGAAACGTCAGGACAGATAATAGCAAGTATTTTCCAGCGTAAATACGTCTATTTGCTGCAGGATACTGTGGCCAGAGATTCTCTCATCTGCTGAACTCACTGATGATGCTTATGCAACATAAATGAAAGATCATGAAAGGCCCTTCCGAAGGAATTCTTGCGTCATGGGCTCTCAAGTCACTGCGAAGAGAGGAGGAATGACGCAATGGAGCTGGACAAGGCAGATTCAGGAGAAGCCATCAACTCTCCAATAAAATAAAGAGGGCGAGCACAGTGCAAAACTAAAGCTTGCAGTGAAGACCGTAAGGCTGCAAAAGCCCTAATTACATGAGGAATTCAAGTCATAGGGATGCAATTTACCTACAATTACAAAAAGATTTCTTCCAAATGATGTCTAATCTACTCCATTACTGAGCAAAAAAAGAACTCCAGCACAAACCAGCAGATAGCCTGTGCTCTCCTGGTGTCTTGGGGAGCAGCTGCCGTTCCCAGCTACAAAAGCAGTGTGCAGCAGCTGGCTGCCTTGATGGAGCTGGAACCAGCACTCAGCTCCCTGCCAGGAGGACCACAGTAAATCAACCTGTGGATCTCAGTAAATATTAGCCAATCTCAGTAAAACTGCCTAATGGAGCTCGGTAAAAACGAACTCCACAGCTCCGTGCTAATGAAAAAATGGCTAATAATGAAAAAATGAGAAATGCAGAGCTGCAGACACGCCTTTCTGCCTGGAGCAGCTGGGCCAGGCGAAGAGCGGCTCGGAGCTGGCTTCCAAACGCGTGTCCCGTCCCCCTGACGTCTGTCTCCTCTGGGCTCCTGGCTCCGACGCTCAGTGTGAATGTTCCCACAAGTGATGCTGCAAATCAACCAGCTCTACTGTGAAACAGTTGAAAGAGCAGATCTGCCCTAACTGGGTCATTGTGTTTGCTTCCCAGCTTGCTCATTCGGATGAGCAGTTGAGCCAACAAACTAAGGTCAGCTTAATCCTCCTGCCAAGAGAGTGACGATGAGTGGCTAAGGACAGGCTGAAGGTAAAAACCTGCCCAGCTGCAAACTAAAATAAAAATACTTGAGAATAACCCAAACAACATTCAGCTTAGAGATTCGGCACTCAAGATAGTTGTCTCTGAGCTGAATAATGTCTTGGCCTGACATTGACTCCTCCAGACTGAAACAAGCACAGCCTCGCTCTCTGGGTCACGCAGAAGGGGTGCGGAGATACAAATTCCTTTCCCTTCCACACGGAGGAGAGGATGCTCTTGAGCAGCACAGGCTGACAGACGTCAGGCCCTACCCTCCTGATATGCTTGGTGAGTAAGTAGCCCGTTGGCATGTGAGCTGTCTCACTCAAATGAACTAAACTATTTGCTGATGAACATTTATTGACATGAATAAGCGATGCTGGATTAGATCCATTCAAAGCTGTAGAGTGAGTTTGGGGACATGAATGTAAATCCAAGTACAAAAAAGCCAAAAGGATAACCTGAAATAAAGGGTCTTAAGCAAATCCAGATATCCACTAAGATCTTCTTTATCAAAGACCATTGTGACAATGACACAGTTTATCACAATTCTTGGTCTCAACATACCTGTAGACTTGTCCTGACTGTCACTACCAGCTTCAGCCAGGAAGGGAATTTTCCAATCATTTTGCTCAGGAATGATACTATGGTGTCTCCATAATCTGGCTTGTGAAATTCAGCCTCATTTAAACCATCAATTAATATAATGAAATCTTCATCAGGGATCTTCCTCTCTAAGAGAAAGAGAAAAAGTATTTATTTGAAAGGCTAGACACGTGACTATAATGTAGTGCAAAGTCACTACAGTGTTTTAAAGCATCATCAGATATTGCTAAAGAACAAAAAAGACACAGTAGCAGCACCTTTCTTACGATATATTAATTGCACATATACACAGAGGTAGACTCGCACATACGCAATCTCAATTCTTCTAAAATACATATTTTAGTTAAGACACACAGAACTGTGATATCCCACAGGTAAAATAGCTAATCATCTTTTTAAAAACTACCTCTTCCACAAAGTCCAATGTTACTTGATGTGAATCAGTATCTTTCTGCTAAGTTTTAATAAACACATTATTAGCGGTTCTTTACAGTTTTGACATTAAACTCTCACCCTGATGTCAGCCTGTCTTAATTTTTGAAACTGCTAAATGAAGGTTCACCAAAAAATTCACTTCCCCAACACCTCTAGATCCTTCCAATTCTGGCGTCTGCACTTTGGGCACTGGCTTCTTGATCAACTAAGGTCTAGGCAAGCGTTTTGAAACAAAAGCAAGTCTGACTGACAAGCAAGAAAAATTATCTGACGAGAGTAAACCATCAGTCTGCATGTGTGGGGAAGGTCATTCAACATTCTGGAGGTTACATCCTCTGTTCAGCAGAGACTGTTCAAAACGACTCTGAACTTCCAGTAATGTAAAGGAGTTTGATCACAAGTCTGTAGCCAAAGCCTCTTTTATAAACGAGTCGGGGGGAATAAAAAAGATCCTAAAAAAAGCAAATCACAAAACTGGGTTTTTCCGCTGCTGGTGAATACAGTAACTAAACTGATGTAGACAATGAAGTCAGTGTTTCTATGTCAGATGCTGAAAGCTGAGTATAGCTTTATAAGTAATAATATAGATTCTTTTGGATTTGCATCTTAAGTTCAAGTGGTATCTTCTCAAAGGTAATCTTGCCTAATAAACTCAAAAACGGGTGGGAAATGGGACATCTGAGTCTATTGTTGGCATATGCTTGTAACACGTACTACAGATTCTGATCTGTATAAAGTTTGCTCTCCTTTGTAAAGTACTATGGATAAATCCTGCTATCAAAAAGCTCAGTATTCCCAATAGCAGGTGAGCTTTTCTCTTTGACTTTAAATTGTATCAGGAAATCTGTAAAAACCCAGCACAAGATGTTCATCAATGACACGAGCCGTCTCTGTGGTGTTGCAGGGAGAACAGAAACGTGTCAACACGTTGCATTCAGTACTGCTGAGCATCAAAATCCCATCTTGTTCTTGCCTTACATTACCAAGTTGCATTTATTTCCTAACACACTGTTAATATACATATGAAAACCACATATTTTGCATTAAAATTACCATTGATCCTTTTTCAGTTAGCTTCTCGGTAAGATTATTTGGTACACTAGAAAATATACTTTATGACTCTCTGAAATCTTGGAGTGAATATAGTGCCTGAGTTTTATACCCACATCTCATGTTTCTCATAAAGCCTGAGGGAGAGAGGAGAAAGCAGGGAGTAGGGGAAGAATAAGAACGTTGTTCTCCTATATATTATTTAGATTCCTTCAGAGTAAAAAAAATATATTTGAGAAACATGAATCTAACTTTCTCAGTGACATTCACCATTAACGGCTGTGCAATAATTTTGTCCCAGTAGCATTAGCGCTTTAACAGCACCTTGTAAAAGACCTGCTGATATATTTACAGAGTCTTAAATGTTATATATTTTAAAACCAATTTCCAGACACTGTTCATTTTGTTACAAAACACTTGGTGCAAACTAGCTTGCCAGCACTCTTGATCAGCAAGGTTGAAAGATGGGAGTCCTAATCATTGGTTCCACTGGAGCTCTGTTAAGTCCAGAGCCCAAGAAGAAAAAAAAAAAATCTTTTCTTTAAATTTTTCCACCCCCCAGAATTTAGGACCAGATGGGGGTCAACCTGCTTGGCAAGAAAAATAAGCATCCTCCGAAATGCTCTGAATTCAAGAGCTGGAATACCTCCCAAGGAGTTACTGTAATAACCACATATTATTTTCCTTTAGAGCAGCGGTTCCTAAATGTATCTTTTTTTTTTTTTTTTTGCCAGGAGTGTTGGTAAGAAAGACTAGCCATGCTACTCCTACAGTGACATTTGTCCATGCCAGGAAAATCAACTGCTGTCGAGCTGTGCTGGCTCTACGTGTGCTTTGTGCCTGGTGGAACCACGCATGTTGGACCCAGATGCTGCTGCTCAGAGTTTGGACACTGTGTTTTGAATTGCTGATTTGAACAACAGGGCTTTGAATCTGGTAGAACCTGCATCTATTTCACGTTGGCTCCTGCACTGTCTGATGTAGGGTGGCAACAGAAAATTATCTGAATTATTTTTGCAGCACACCATTTTAATAAACACCGTTTTGCAGGACAACAGAGTCCTGAACTCTGCAACGCTCTCACAGTTTTCATGGCAACGAGCAAAGATCTTCAATCTAGCGACTGTCACAACGAATTGGTTATATCTAGCAGAGGAAAGAAAGAAAAGGAGACAAAACCAATGCTGCATTAGAAAAAGCTGTGAAATCCATAATCAGGGTAAGGCTTGTTACCAGTTCCCCTTGAAGCTTTACACAGAGTACCTATAGTTTTTTATGGTATCGGGTCTTTTGGTCAAAGCTTCAAATTCTCAGAAGTCCACTAAATAATGGCAGGGAAAGGGAAAAACATTCACCCCCTAAACGGTTAAATCAGAATACATTGCCATAAGCAGAGCTGTCCATGAAAATTGTTGCTTGTTTTCACCTTCAGAACCGTGAGGCCAGATTTGGGATGTGAAAGAAAGCAAGAAAAGAGAAAGCCAAGCGCACGCTGTCATTAGCATTTCATGGATGGCCCTGAAACGCACACCAGGAGGAGAGGGGTGGTTAACCCCTCACTTCCAGACAAGCACAATGTCATATTCTCGGCTTCTCCAGATCTCACCTCTTCCCTGCAGCTCTTGACATGCGAAGCTTTGTTTAAACACCCAGATGCAGCGAAGCAGCATGTTTAAAATAATAATAAAAAAAAGGGGTGTGGTTGCTCAGGGAGAGCATAGGAACTGCCGTTACAATACCTTTGTGCAGATTTTCCAAGGGCTCCAGGACTCCCCTTCGGAAGGAGGCCATGGGGTCTTGCACGCAGGACCTCAGGCTGAGCATGCTTTGCAGGTGGGGCTCTCGCAGGAGCTGCTCCCTGTAGGCAACGAACTGCGGCGAGCGGCAGAGCAGGGCGGCCACGTTGTGCACAAACTCTGGCACCAGGCAGGTGTAGGCATTATCAGCTTGGCAGTAGTGATAAGCGACAACCTAGCAAAGAGAAAAGGAACAAAAACCGCATCTTCGTCAGACGCGAGTCGGGCAAGTTGTTAAAAGCAGCATTTTTCGTTTGGTGAGTTTGATGTATTCTGGCAGGTGAAGTCTTTAAGAGTACCGAGTGTTAACTACCTGTGACAAGAATCCAGACAAATCAGTTGGTAAAAACAGGCACTGATCCTGAAAAATGACTGGACCTGCCACTTGAGGAATAAATGAAATTAAGCTGTAGCTGCTCACAGAGTCGGACAGTGACAGTAACTGACATATCTGAAGTGCTGCGCTGAGCAGGGAGTGATAGGATTGTGCTCCAAGCTCTGTTTAAGGACTTGGTGTCAGTAATAACTTGTGATTGTTTTCTTGAACTTATTTTTTATTTGCTATTTTCAAATGTCAGGCTCTGTAGAAGCAGGCAGAGAGCACAGGCTGAGTACCTTACAGCAAGGTAGCATCTGCAAACGATGGATTCCCGTGAACAGGGGGGGAATGTCAGACTTACTATACATTACTCATTCACTGTGATCCCACCCTTCGTTCAGAAAATCAATTTGATTAAAAAAAAAAAAAACCAAACAAAAAACCCCAAAAAACTTCATCTTTTCCCAGGTCACCTGATCTTCCCAGCTCTTCAAATTCTGCCAGAACTCACTAAATTCTGACCACTTATTAAAATAAGCAGAAAACCAGTGATATCTTCTCAGTCCAATCTGCCAACTTTCCTGTTTTCTTTTGCAATATAAAAAAGGTCCACAAAAATCTCTCTCTGCTTGTAAAACACTCAGCAGGCTGCTCCAGTACCGCTCCAGTGCCCAGCTCCTCCTGCTCCCTTACTGGCACCAGCGTTCTCGTGGCACCGCCTGGCCATTTGGTGTGAGCCTCTGCCAGGTCAAAAAGCTTTTCTCCAGCTCCCATTCACTGGGTTTTCTTTTCAAATGTCACTGTTCATATCCAAAAATACCGCAGCAAGGCAGGTGGGATCAGTTTCGCACCAAAACCACCATTGCCCTGGAGCACTGTAGCACAGAATACAAACATCGCAAAATAAAGCACATTTCTGAACATGGGAAGGACAATATAACCGAGGACACTGCGCACACGAGATTTCTGTGGCCTCTCTGGAGGCTGTGTGAGCTCGGATGAAACGTGGCCTGCGGCTGTTGGCCGTGATTAAGGCTTTCTGGCTTTCCACCTGCAATAACCAGCGCTCGGTTCGCAGCAGGCTCCAAGGCAGACGGGGTGGTGCATCCAGGCTCTGAGCTCTGCCACTGCCAAGGATGGTACCGAGAAATAAAAACATGAGGCTGTGGGGTCCTCGCACATTGCTGGCTCAGCACTGGCTTTTAATTTTAAATAGTAGTCTATGAAATTACCAATGGGGTATAATGCAATCATTTCCTTTCACAGTCAAAACGAGGTGTGATGCATACAGCGATGATAAAGCCAGGTTGTTATTTCAAGCATCAAGACCTAATACATGTGCTTAAGCTTTAATGGATACCTCCAAATTCCTAACAGAAGTTTTCCTACCAGCCAGTTAAAATATAATGTATTCCCTTAGAGAACAGCACTGGGTAAAGCAATAATAAAGGTAGTGATTTCTTTTTAACAATCCTATTTATTTGGGGATTATAACTTGTGGATTCCACAGTACAAAGTTCTTAAGCAGCCGTCCCTTGATATCAGGTTCCCAGTAACAGAAACCAAATCGCTGTATGCAGAGCTCTTATTTCCTACACAATAGGTGTGTAGACACAAAAATAAAGTCTCCTTTTTATGAGTGGCCAATTAACTTCGTCCAGGAATCTGAAAAACCACGTCGTGGAAAAGGGGACACACCTAGTACCCATGAAGAGAGTGGTCACTGCTAGATATGTGGACTTACATACAGTTACAACTCAATTAATTTAAGCCCCTTCACATACACTCTCGATCCTTGTGCTGGATTTACTGGTATATTGATTAAGCCTTAAACAGTAGGATAAATGCAATGTTTAATAGGTGTATCTGAAGCTAAACCAGTAAGCAATGAATATTTTGGAAAGGCAACTAAAGGAAAGGCATTATGATGTTCTCAGAAACGCAACTGTGCCAAAATTTCATCTTGATGTTATTTATTCTCCGTGACATTTTCTCTATCTTCAAATCAAAGAGAGACTGCCAAAAGCCAGTGCTGCAAGCTGAGCCTGGTGCTAGAAATCAGGCTCCTCACTTACAGAACCGGAGTTGGGTGGGAAACAGTTTTCACATCCTATAAAACTTTTCAAGGTTTCAAAGCATTTCCCTGTTCCACCCTTGGGAATGAGACCAGGGTTAATGTGAAAAGTGAATGAAAGAAACTTCAGGACAAGCAATGGGTTGGTGTTGATGGGGCTCATCCCCAAACACGTTCAAACCCTGTTCTTTCTCCCCTGAATTAGGTGAATGCCTTTAACACCCAGCCATTAATGCTCTGGGGAAGGTCTCTTTCCAATTATTTCACTTTATATACTTTATTAACTGCTCAAGGATCCAGCAAGAGGGATAGATTACCATCTCCACTGCTTAGGATTCTCTTCTAAGACACGGGAGACCCTGTCCAGACCTTGTTCTGCACCTGAAATGACCACTCCATAAGCTAGTTGTAATTCTGGGGTGTTGTTAGTCTCTCCTCCTTTTACTTGACTGGACAAGCTAAGAAATACATCCAAGGAAAAAAAAAACAAAAACAAACCAACCCACCAACTTGTACAGCCTGGAAATGAACTTTTCATTGAGAAAGGTGTGCTCTCAATAAAAGCTTCATTTTCCATAAATGGAAATACTTTGCTTTAAAAACCTTCTTGAAAAAGTTCCCTCATCATAAACAAAATCCCCGAAACTGTTTTACAATAAATGAAATCACTCTTCCAAAGGTATGGGCATGACTGGATGTTGTGACAGGTAAACATTTATTTTTGTCTGATACAATTTAAGGCATAATTTTTCTAATCATTTCAATTTGAACTTTGTCATCACATAGCACTAAACACTATAAACACTAAAGTGGACTTCCAAAACTTTTAAACTTTTATTTCAGCTATCAGGTTTGTTAAATGAAGTTTACAAAGTTGGAAGCGGAAAAATTCCTTGCTCTAAAGTTTGATTAAATTTAAATCACTGGATTTCAAACATTCAGTATACAATGCCTATGGGCATTATAAGCAACCCTAATGCAAGAGAAGTGGATTACAACGAAGGATGAGAAAAGCAACACCTAGATCAAGAGAACTGTTCAAAAATATCTGTTTATGTCATTTTTGTAAGGGCTGAGAATGCAGTTTCGACAAGTCGAGTGACTCCACGCTGAGAAACCAAGGCATTATGTTGTTTACATTAAATATCAAATGCCAAAAGTTACAAACTTGTATAATTTCCTTTCTTGCTTGAAAGGGAGCTTCAAAGTAATTCACACTTGTAAGATGCATATTTTACTTCCAATGATTATCTCCTCTCCTAAAATGATTTGGAGAGTCTAGCTGGCTACACACCAAAGAAGTACATTTATCGTGAGCTTTTCGCTAGCCAATTTTAAACATTAATGATGTGTTATAAGGCTTGAGAAACACCAGACACAGTGAAGGCGGAGCGCTGCCTCTAACAAACCACGGCCAATGTTCAGCACAACCCCATTCTCTCCTGAAGTGGGGTCGGGGAGCACCAAAACTCTCATTTACTCAGAAATGACACAAACATCATCTTCCTAACTGCTACAGCAGAATTCTGAAAGATATTATTCATACTCTCTTTAGGTGTTAAATCCAGTAGGTCTTCAGGAGTCTCTTCTCCCAACCTTTCCAAATACCAGCCACCCTACTCTCTCCTTTCTGCCCCAACCACTTCCCATTCCTCCCTTCATCCAGCCTGACGTAACCTTCACCTTCCTGCCACCCTTTCTGCTGTCCTTCTGTTCGGGTTCACTCCTTCACCCCATCCTGACATGCAGACACCGTACATCCTTCCTGCAGCTCTCCTCCCCACACCAAAATGCTTTTCTGAATCACGGCCATGCAAACTGCGCTCCAGATCGCCAAGGCCAAGCTACTGATTTCACCTGGCTTGGGCTCAGCGGAGCAGATGTGGAAGAATTCCATGAAATCAGAAAAAAAAGGGAGATTTCCTCATATAGGTCAGGACCTAGGAAAACAGGTGCTGGAAGAAGGAGGAAGACACTCGTGTATTAAAAGCAAAGCAGCTATTCCAAGGATAATGGGAAACGCCAGTGGAAGAGGAGGGGAAGAGCTGCATGAATGCAGAAGGAGAGGCTGGAGAGGGCACAGAGAGCGGAAAAAGAGGAGGCACAAAAGAGATTGTGTATCACCTATAAAGTACAGAGGGAAAGAAGAGACTGAACTGTGAAGGGGGGAAAGAAAAGAGAGAAAGGGGAGAAAATGACATGTCAGGAGAGGCGAGAGATAACAGTAATTTGAGAAAGGCTGGAAGGACAGTGTGAACATCAAAAGGGAAACAGGGGCTGAAGATGGCTCAAGGGAAATAAGTTATTTTTACTTAATAGGACAGGCCAATTTTAAGCAGTTCTCTGGCACTATTTGCAAAAAAGAATATCCCTCCATTTAAGCAGCATTCCTTTGGCATCACGCCTCTGGTGTGATTTGTCTCTGCTTCCTTTTGTAAGCATGTCATGCAAGGAGGCCATTCTGCCAAGCCCCCCTAAAAGGACCAACCTCCCAGACACCTGAGCTCACAGCAACACCCCAGTTCCTCCAGTGCTTTTAAAGGGCTTCAACACTGTATTTTAACCGCATTTCTGCACCTAATAAGATTTATCTTTTTTTGACCCATACAAAATAGCTTCAAATAAATTCAGTTTAATGCTTTTACCTGCCAAAATGCCATTTGCCAAGCATAACGTTGGCTGTAATAATGCAAATGGAAATCAGCACTGCTGTATTTTATCCATTGCACATGACTGTGCATGTATGTGGTGACCCAGTTTGTTGGGAACATTCATTACTTTT